TTTCGTGACCCAACTAGGTAACATCATCAGTGCTAGAAGGGAGTGGGGTTGGAGGAGGAGGAGGAGGAGGAGGAGGGGAATTGATAGAGGACAAGACAGGTAGATAATAGAGATAATGGGTGAGGAGAGTGTGTGTGAGAGAGGATAAATATTCTATCTGTGTCCATCTGCCTATCTATATTTGCAATCCCAAAATTTAGGGAGGTTCTTACCTTATTCTTGAGAATTTCTTTTTGTGATATTTCCAAGTTTCTTCTGTTGTAGGAGATGGCAAAGGGGAGAGATCCTTCTAGGATTGTTTCCGAGGAGTCCTGGCTGGCAACATGGAAGAAGACCTTCTCTTCAGATCTAATGGAAGATTGGGAAGTCAAGGAGACTTGACTGGAGGGAGGGTGGGTCATAGAGTAAAAGGCAGGACATTTGCACACTTTTCTTAACTACTCCACACCACTCCTAAGTGCAAGAACAACCCCCCCTGCTACCCACAATGATTTCTCCAAACCCCTTCCCAGCAAGCAAATTCACCATACTGAAAGAACATTGCTTCATTTACTCTCCCCCTCCCCTTTCTCTTTTGTTCATTTTTTCAATTCACTTTTTTTTCATTTTGGACTGCTGAGCTTGCAAGCATTGCTTTTTTTTGAATCGATGCCAACTGGGCTCAAGATTTTATTCCTCAAGCCAAGTAGAGCCAAACCCAATCTCTGCTATGCTCATCTGGAAGCAGATTCCCTGCTTATTCCCCCATGAGTTACATCATACGACTTTAAATTCCCATTAATGTCAGTGGGGTTAAGGTGAATCACAGACACACACCCATTGAAAACAATAGGATTTTACCAGGCCTTCCTGTGACTGTTAGAAGAAAGTGGCTGAATTCACGCAACAGATTTCTCCAGTAACAAAATGTGTGCCTCTGTTTGCCTAAAATGCTCAGCTGGTTTGGTTTTAACCATCATTCCTTTCTCATAACTTCCTTCATCACATCACCTATAGACTCCTAGGTTTGTTTATCATCAAATGCTTTGATGATATGGGTTGATTTAAGACTCAACGTGTACTCAATGTGTAGTCCTCAATGGAACTGCAACTCTATGGAGGGAAGTATGTAGTGGAGTACACCAAGGCTCTGCTTTAGGCCCAGTACTATTCAACATCTTCATCAATGACTTGGACATTTGCAGATGACACCAAACTGATAGGAATAGCCAACATTCCAGAAGATAGACTCAAGATACAGAAGGATCTTGACAGACTTGAACATTGGGCATTATCTAACAAAATGAAATTCAATGATGAAAAGAGTCAGGTTCTATATTTATGCAAGAAAAACAAAATGCACAGGTACAGTATAGGTGGTACCTTGCTAAACCCAAGTAACTGTGAGCGGGATCTTGGAGTCCTAGTGGGCAACCATTTCAATATGAGCCAGCAGTGTGCAGCAGCTGCCAAAAAAGCCAACACAGT